TCAGGATTCGAACCCCGACATCTTTCAAGGGATGGGGATTCAACCAGGTTCTCACATCTTCTCCGAGCAATTTGGAAAGCCTGCTTGGGAATTATACGACGGGCAGGCAGTCTTGGCCGATCGTGTTTCTAGGCAGCTCCTGAGTGATCACATAACAACTCCCTCCCTGGATCTAAATCCGAACTCTCTTTCGACCAACCGCAGATAGTCGGATTTAAGCAACTGCTTGAATTTTCACGGACCCATCTACCAGAGGAAGCTCACAAGAGGGTTCTGGTCTCTCTTCTTTGGCAGACTTGAAACCGAAACCGAACGATGAAGAAACTAAGCAGTGTCATGTCATAAAGACCTGCTACGAACGGACCTGTGCCGTAAGGTCTCTAATATCTTGAAAGAACTGGAGAAAGTTGATTTCACTATCACATGATATATAAGGTTCCTTACAACGACTAACAGATAAAGAAAGGTGAAGTTCTTGATGGAAGTATGCATACGCCCGCACAAGCTGGCTTTCGGGTACGCAGAAACCTTATTTTTGTTGGTAGCTTATGATATGGTGGCATCAAATTGTACAAAATTAAGTACAATTTTGCTTTAGGATTGAACCTGAAGAGATCTATGTTATGGCAATACACCAAGCCAAAGAAACATTCATGGCAATGAAAGCTGTACACTTAAACCTCGTCGAATAAGATGTTATGAAGATTGAAATGGTAAAATCCCTATCCATCAGACCCCCCCTTATGTCTGAAGCTTATGTACAGGAAGTAAAAGACTGATCTGGGGTTCTAAATTTGTCAATGGAAGCACCAAATCTCGACCAACTCCGTGCATTCATACCGTTAATGCTTGGTCGAGAGCGTTACTGTATACTGTTTGATCATATCAACTGTATGTACATCCCACTCAGTAATTCAGCAAAAAAAATGGAAAAAAAGAAAGATTCATATTTGAATCTCTATATGGATCATCATCTGTTGATAGAGAATATATGTTATACAGGTTGTTTTCAGCATATTGGTGGCTTGTTAATACTAATCCATCTAATTCTAAATCCTTAGTAATCCAAATGTTTAATACGTATATGATAGATAGTGTAATTCTAAACAAATTTATAGCAATATCACACATAACATAGATTCAGACATAAACTCCAGCCTGAAAATTACTTGAACAGTTGGATGATAGTACCTTCATTTACGAGGATCGTAGGTCGAATCCCCTTCCCTTATTTGTGGTGTTATACTCTAAAAACACACAGCAACACAACCTAACTTGATAGAAATATAAGAACAATGATGTATAGAGGAAACTGAGCTGAGTTATTTGAGTAAGTTAGTGGTAAAATCCCAAAGTTTCTTAGCCAGATCAACATCCTGCCCATGTTGACTTGCCTTGTTTAGGTTACTATTCAGAAAATATTCACCACTCACTCCCTTCACTTGTGGATGCAATGCTACATAGCAGGTTGTTGCTGCACCCTGCAAATTCGGACCCTCGTCAATAAACAACTAACCCCAATATGCATTTTGCTTCTAGTGGTCGAGATATGCTATTTAAGAATGTCGAAGTTTTATTTGATAACGATTTTGTCTTTAGAATGAAGATTACCTGTTGAACATTTTTGAATACGAGTTTGCCGACAGTGTTCGCAATACCTACATGAAAAACAAAAGTAGTTTTCAGGCTGATGAAGCTAGCAATAATACAAGAAAAAAAATGGTGGATTCGAAAAATTATAAGTCTGTAGTATTAAGATACATATCTACTGAACTGAACTGCTGCATTATACTCATGTAGGGAGAAGTTTTCGTACGAAAACGTAAGCATTCGAGATAGACAACAGAACAGAGGAGATTTCAGCCCAATTTCATCGACGCAGTAATAGAAAAGTCAGCTACCATCAATGTGATGGGAGAAATAGACTTCAATAGGATCCCAAATGTATAAGCAACCGTTAACTAAAGACCCGTTTGATAATCGTTTGGTAAGCCTATAAATACTATTCACATTGTTATTAATTTGTTATCGAACGGAGCTTCGGTATTACCATTGCCAAAACTGAAATGGCGGAAAAGATTTGTGGCAATTATTCCTGGGTGAAGTGAGTTTGCAGTTATGTTTACTCCTTCTTCCTGTACAAGAACAACCCATCAGTTTTAATTAGTGAACAAAACAAGAACGAAAAACGAACTAAATTTAACGAAAATAAGCTCTTGGTCTCAACAATTTGCCTCCCTATATGAAGAACATATCTATCAGACTGTAGTAAGAGTAACAGCAGCATTGACTGAAGTTTGCCAATGAATAATAATTTTAGATTTGGAAGACACAGATTGAACTTAAATTTATTATACTATGCCCTTATATGTTCATTGTTTCTCGTTTCTCGTTTTTGGTTCGTTTGTTTCCACCATCAACCAAGGAAGTTCCCGTACCTTGAAACGTCTTGTAAGTTCATTGGCATGCAGAACATTACATAACTTTGATTGGCCATAAGCTAGCATTTTTTTGTACCTACAATGAGAGAATTTGAACACATGAACTATCAATTGGAAAGGAAGTGGCAATTTGATCACGTTGAGGGCAATGCTTAAAACAGAGCAAATAAAAGATGGCAGCAAGCATCAAATATGCAAACTGAGTTACTTGTTTGATCTATTCTGCAGGCAATGTAAGGAGTTGAAACTCATCTGCATTTCAGTAGGAGGAAAACAAAGAACTGCCTAGCACTTACCTTGATTCATCGTTAATCCCGTCAAATCGGATGCCTTCAGGATATGTATAACGGTGAGCTTCCGAGGAGACGTTAACAATTCTTCCTTCTTTTTTACTTTTAATGGCAGTTTTCTTCATACTATCCAACAGTAGATCTGTCAAGAGGAAATGACCTGCACGAACTCGAGTATAAAGTCGTTAATGATCAGCTGTATAATAAGTTAGCTTCCTATAGCAGCCAATATATCAATGTAATAAACTCAAAGTCCTAAAGCTAAGCGAGGCCTACTGCCTAATCTCCTCATGGCCACAGCCTCAATTTCTCAGCCAATCATGTTGGGCCATAACAAGTTCATGTAAACTCTTGTTGTGTCAATGGTTTCACGAGTATTCTATATATACATCTTCTTGCAAGTTCATATAGATTAAACGCTTTCAGTACACAAGAAATAATCTATCACATAAGCGACATACCTAAGTGATTTGTTGCAAATTGCAGTTCTATGTTATCTTTTGAAAGTCCAAAAGGGGCAGCCATGACTCCTGCATTATTACTTCCACCACAGAAAAGAACAGATATGAAACAGATTGCTAGTTTATAGTCCTGTATGTCACTGTAGTGGCTATCAATTCTTACATGAGGATATTAAGTGGAAGCCCAGCTGACTGATAATTTGAGGCAAATTTTCTCACAGAAGCCATGGAGCTAAGATCCAACTCCATGGCATCAATTTTTGCAGAAGGGTTCTCCTTGATGATGGTTTCTCTTACATTTCTACCAGCTTCTAAGTTCCTAATACCCATAACAACATGGACTCCGCGTAATGCAAGAACACGCGCAGTTTCAGAGCCAATACCACTCGACGCTCCTGAAGAAGAACACCCATATGTTATAAACAATAACGAAAGCACAATCCCCAGAAGATTCTAATGGAAACCTATTAGCATAAACCCAGATGTATAATCGAAGGAGGATGATACCCAGTTCAAAATACATAAACAAGAACTGTTGTAGAGTAAATTCGGACCTGTAACAATGGCGGTGAGTCCTGTGCCATCGATTCCGTTTGTAACTTCCTCGGCGGTGGAAGAAGACGAAAACCCGGAGGGCCCTTTTCTTCTGAATAACCACATTCCGTTGAGCGATGGAATTTCTGACGCACTTGAGAGTTTTTGAATCTGGAAATTGCTTTTAGAGACCAACCAGTTGTGGCCAACTCATTTTCTTGATAAGAACCATGCATTCTGCCACCTCTCTCTCGCATGTCAATCGGGCCCAATTTCACTCAATATATCCCAAGTACGCGCCGGATGGAAACTAAAGCTAATCTGTCAATTCAATTGAAAAAAATGGGTTCGATGTACGATCCTGAAGAATCAATGTTGCGCCTATTTTTCTTCTAGATATCAAGTGGATGGAGGATAAGTATCGATGGGTGCTCGCCCGTTCCAACTTTTCTTTAGCTTTTTGGAGCGCACAGTTGAGAGATAGCGATGGCTTCTTTGTGTCTTGCAAAGATGGGGCAAGTAAAGTTCTAAGGTTCATAGCGAGACAAGTCATCATTATTTATAGTTATGATAGGTGGGAAGTGAAAATGTATTTATGTGTGCTAGTGACACGTCCTCCTAACGCTTATTTTTACATGACCGGATTAATTCGGTTACGTGTTTGTTATATATTTTCATTTTTTTTAACTACTTGACAACACGAGGAAACTACTTTTTAAGGTTTTAAATATGGTGTTCGGAGTAATATGTTTACATCTTAAAATGAAATATTTGAAAAACGATATGAGTTATGTAAATGCTGAGCGTTAGATGGAGGAAAAACGTGTATGCTAGAGAGGGATTTCTGCACCATTATAAGGAATGTTTTCTTCCCCTCTTTAACCCGTGTAGGAGCTCACAATTCATCCATTTCGGATACTGTTCGATGTCTAACTCTAATACCATTTGTAACAACTCTATTCGCAGATATTGTCCTATTTAGATTTTCTCTTGAGCTTCCCCTCAAAGTTTTAAAACGTTGGTCGGGGTCAATTGTGAGTTCTAGTAAGGGTATGAAAATCTCTTACTAACAGACCTGTTTTAAAAACATTGATGAAAAGACAAAAAAAAAAAAAAAAATCAACTAAAACAATATCTACCGACAGTGAGTCCATTTTTTTATATGATATTCTGAAACGTAACTATTATCACGTGCGCGGCCAGTTTGGTTAGTTGAGGTCACGTGCCAAACACGAACTGAACACACATTGTTGAGCGTTAGTGAGGGCAAACAAAAAAAAAAAAAAAGTAAAATCTGAAGTGCAGAATATCAGCGGAGGCCTGTGTGAAACCCTAGCTCCGCTCTGCTTCCCCCACCTTCGCCCAATCTTTCATTTGATGTGCAATATTTCCGACTTCGAGGTGCCATATTTCCGATTTCGAGGTACGAATTTGTGTTTTTTCCTTCCTATATTTCCAGCTCAATCGCGTTTTACCATATCTTAGTCTATCTTTTTAGCTCCTGTTCGTGGGGATTCCGATTCATTTCATCAACGCCAAGAGGGGGGTTTTGAACATGAGCTTGGTTTTGAGGTACGAATTTTCATTTGATCACTGTTTCTTCATCGGAAATGGACTCGATTATTCTTTTAATTTGTCGTGAGGGGATACGATTAGTGATTCAGTTTTGGATTATTTTCGTTTACCGTTTTCTCTTAATTGAAATACGGGCACCGGAAAGATTTTGAGATTTCCTCTACTTTTGTTGTATGTAGTATGTTTTAGAAATGAAGTTTCTTCAGTAGCTACTGTTGAAGTTGATGATTCAAATAGCTATGCAGGGTGCCCTTCTTGTTATCTAGCTAGTGCACGAACATTTGAAATTGAACAAATTTGGAGAGTAAAAGCATAGAACCATTAGATATAAGCTTAGAATCATGCAATTAGTGGGTAATTTAGTGCTTCTTGGAAGGTACAAATCCTTGTAGTTGCAACCAAGTAAGATTACTTTATGTTTTATCCCAAAGGAAGAGCGCTCAATCTTTGGATTTCGAAAGAGAGTAATATCTCTTGAAGGCTTTTGGCAGATACACAGGCAACAAGAACCCAAACAGATTGAAGCTCCAAAGCGCCATGTTGATTACAGCAAGTGCCCTTCCGACGAACAGAGCCGCTGGTTTCTTATCTTCTTTGGCGAACTCTTCCCGCAGCCACTCAAAGAGGGTGAAGATCCTCCTTGAGTTGTAGAAAACTGGCACAAACACGCGGATTGGCGTCGAGAATCTGTCGTTCCATGCCACGCCTTCCATGAAAACCTGGTAAGAATATCAGTAGAAAGATTATACATACCATACTATCATGCTATTTCTTTCAAGATTGGTCACTAGTTAGGAATTGGGATTGTTTATTAGTTCATAAACTAGACTAAATTATAGAAAAGAAATACATCTGTTCTTTAGTTTTGAAGTTTGAACAAAAAAATCTGACTCAAAAGCATCAATCTTCTGTCGTGGTTGTGTGGAAAGTTACAGAAATTAAAAACCCATGGTGAAGAAGAAAGAAAGGAACCTGGCTGGCGAGAAGAAAGACATGGGGAGAAGCGGCTTTGATGCCCTCTTGATCATCTTGAAAGAATCCTACTAAAATGTAGGCTATGGGGAGGAACAGCCCCACCACGGCGGCGAACAACACGTACTGCTGGAGCAGCTTGTTCTGCTGGCTGAACACCGTCGGCTCCTCGCCCTCCAGCCTTGGAAACGCCACTCTGGAAAGGAAGTACGTGTACATAATCGAAAGCACCACAAACGCCAAGTCCTCTGCACACACCAATCCGCTGGCAGAGAAGATCACCATCAACGCCAGCATATTCAGGTGGCGGAAACTCAGAAACACCGCCGGCTTCTTCCGCCCCAATTTCATCCCCCGATGCTGCTGCTGCTTTGGGTCGCATGTTTCTTCGTGGAGGAGTTCTTGCTCCTTTGGGAGGCTCATGTCCACTCCGCCGGACATTTTTCTTCGTCTGATTTTTTTTTTTTCCTTCCTTTTACAGAGGAGAAGTGAAATGGGTGAAGGAGGAGAAAGGTAATGGAGATTGGAGTTTCAGTTTGAGAAGGAGTGTGGCAAGGAAAGTGGGCAAGTGGCGGCTGCTGGTTGGTTCCATGAACACGTGGTGGTGGTGGTGCCGGTGCTGGTGGAGCTCTGTGTAGCTGGGATCTTCTTTCTGGGTAAGTTAGGGTGGGTCCGGTCAATTTTGGCCTCACCTTTTAATGGTTTTCTATGTTTGATCTTAACAAATGACCTGTATGTGTACTAACATTATTTTAAGTCACATACATGAATGAAATTGGATAACGAGAATGAAGAAATTAAGTGTCAGCAAAAGAGTCAATAAAGCAATAGAACAGACCAGAGTAAAACAAGAATTGGGCCACCAAGGAGATGAAATAAATTTGGAGAGACGGGAACGAAGCATTTCTTATAAAAATGTGGAAACCTTTTTCTAATAGATGTGTTTTAAAACTGTGAGGTTGATGACGGCACGTAACGGACTAAAGCTGACAATATCTACTAGGCATTAAGTTGTTACAAATGGTATCAGAGCCAATCACTGGACGGTGTGAGACATTGGTCGAAGTAGGGCTATACCCTCTTCATAGTAGACGCGTTTTGAAATCACGAGACTAACGACGATACGTAATTGTGAGATTTCACGTTGGTTGGAGAGGGTAACGAAGCATTTAAGGGAGTGGAAATCTTTCATTAGTAAATGCGTTTTAAAACTGTGAGGTTGACGACGATACGTAATGAAGTAAAGCAGACAATATCTACTAGCGATGAGTTTGAGTTGTTAAGCGATGAGTTTGAGTTGTTAAGTCCAAGTCTCAAACCGATCGTTCTTGAAGGGTTGCCCAATACTCTCTTGACCCATGAAACCCCAATCTTCTGTTGGGCTTTTTAAAGGTTAGAATTCTACACCCAAGGCTCAAAACGGTTGGAAATTACTGTTTTGATGACCTCGAGCACGACCCACCTTTAAAGAAGGTGAATTATAAAGACTAAACACCCAAAAGCTCACCCAGTCAAAGCCTAATAGTATAGCATAATTGAAAGGTGATAGAGAATATATTTCTTTCTTAGTGAGTGTGAGTGATCCATCAATTGCTTGGTGCTCACTTTGAGCCAATATTAATACCAAGAAAAAGAATACAATCCATGCATGTGACATGTTTCATCAAATGTCTCCCCCTACTAAAAAAATAAAAAAAAATTAAAATTAAAATTAAAAGGTTAAATTTTTTATATTTTTATTCCAGAATGTTCGTAAATAAAAAAAAGTTCTTTTTTTTTATTATTTAAATTTCTAATATTTAAAATAAGATTGATATATAAAAGAATGAGTGGAATTATGAAAAATAACGACAAAAAAAAAAATATTGATTCATATACTAATAAAAAAAATTTACTATTATTTTTTTATAAAATATTAATAGTACTTTTGAATAGATATTTTTTATTATTGTAACATATTTTATTTTTTGCATAATTTTTTAATAATGTGAAAAAGATACCTTTTTGGTACCAAAAGGGAAGAAAAAAAAAGGAACAATAATTTGTTATTCATATCCAATATATCTTCATCTTTTCAATTTTTAAAACTTTTGAAGTGGGTCAATAATTTAATATAAATTTGAAGGGGCGGGCCCCACTCCCCTAAACCCAAACATTTAAATAAATTCTAATATAAATATAAAACCAAATAATCCCAATAATAATAATAATAATAAAGAGATGGAATTTAGAGGGTTCATCAGTAATTCCGTGTGGGCGACCTACTGACAGCTTCCTGTGACTCCACACTGCGATCTTGCCACGTTTCCTCTCGACAATCGCATCCGACGGCTCGGGGACAAATGGAAATTTGGATGTGCCAATTCACCGCTGCTTAGATCGGCGCTCAGAAACAGTTTCTTCTTTTTCCTTAATGACGTTTTTGCCCCTCTCTTTTATTTATTTATTTATTTTTCAATGATTTCACGTTGTCTGCCCCTTTCTTCCTACATTTTTGTATTAGTCTAACCCTCTATCTTAATCCGGATTAAGTAGGTTAATTAAGAGCTTTTTTTAGTTTTTATATTTTAAAAAATTAAAATTTGGTAATAAAAATCTTATTTACCGTTAGTTACTGTAATTTTATGGTTTTAATTATAATTCAATCATGGTTTTAGTTCGGACCCAGTTATAATTTTATTAGAATATAGACATTTGTGTAATTAATTTTTTGAAAGGACAAAATTGTCATTTAATGAATTAAAATGCTTTTCTGGACTTTTAAACAAGGTTTTATTATTGTGCCAAAATATTTAATTTTAAACTTTTAAGTATTTTGAACTTTAAATAAAAATATAAATAGACGGGTAATTAAGTTTTTCTATTTCACGTTTTTTCTTTTGAAAATTGACTTAAAATACATTTAAAAATCTGCAAAAACACAAATTAAAAAAAAAAAAAAAAAAAAAAAAAAA